CAGGTATAAAGTGAATGTAATCTTTGTCTTAAAAGCAACACATGGTTTGATTTGGGGTGATGGCAGAGGGGAATTAGTCTTACTTTGCCAATGGTTTGTTTGGTTGCCATGGTTTTAAAATTCATCTGGGAAACTAGTTCAGAGTGAAGTCTGTATGATGCATGTGTTTGCTCTACCTCCTCACTGTAATTTCTCCTCTGTTCAGATTGAGAAATAAAGTTTCCTGTCCGTAAGAAAATGGCTTAAGTGTATACCTGTAAGACAGCACAGCTCAATTTTTTTTTTTTTTGGAGATATTCCAAGAAAGATAATGAAATTTCAGAATAGCGTCTATGGAATATTCTGGTTTTGTGAGCAGGCCATTGCTTACTTAAAGCTAGATTGCATGAACAGCAGAAATATATGCCAGTTATGTGGCTTGTGTCATTTCACATGGCAGGTAAGGGATTGCATGGTTTATTTTCTCCTAGCACAACAAACTCATAGCAAATGAAATAGGCCAGCAACAGGGGAGTGTGTACATGTGTGCAGAGGTGGTATTCAGCAGGTTCTAACCAGTTCCCACATCTATTCTCTGTCTCCCGAGTCCCAGCTGATCAGCTAGGTCTTCTTTGGTTGCCCTGCACAGGAGAATGGAGCTGGAAAGCAGGTTAGCGGGGTGGGGAGGAAATGGGATTTTGCAGTAACCTTCCCCCAGGACTGGGGAGGGAACAGGGATTTTGCAGTAACTTTCCACTGCCATGCCCACCAAGTCACACCCACCAAACCAAGCCACGCCCACCAAGCCACACCCACAGAACTGGTAGTAAACATTTTTGAATCGCACCACTGCATGTGTGTGCATAGCCGTAGCTCCACTTGTGCTAGTAGCAGACACTTGCACTCATACACAAAGTTCCATATGTGTGAACAGTGGGTGCTTGCGCTCACATGCAAACCTTCATGTGCAAGGGGTGAGCACACATGCCCACCCCTTGCACAAATGGAGCTGCACACGATTGTGCACATACCTGAAACAGACCATTATTACCTGCCTTGTTAGTTGTTTGGTACCTCCGGTTCCAGTAATGTGGGGAATAATAATAAATCACTACTCACCAAATGCTGAACAATTTGCTCAACAAGCTGTTTCATTTGCAAACATTGGGAAAATATTATCTCAGGGAAATTTAGTTTAAAAAGATTAATATTGATCTTGCACACTTGTAAATAACAAATGGTGAGAAAATAGTGCAATTGTTTCTTAAGGTGCAGGCGTTCTGCTCAAAAATACAATATCCTAAGGACAGGAAAGAAATGTTATGGTTTTCAATATGAAAAGAAAGATGATGCTGGAGATTAGCTACACAGATTAAGAGGAGTTTGGTTGCTATTAAAAATGAACAGCATGAGATGAATTTAATAGAGAGAGAAAAAATAGACGTAAAACGAGAGTAATGTAGGGTTCCAGAGAAAGAAAGGCTTTAAAGGCTTTGTTAGTGATTTGCTTTGGAGATAATTGGAAAAAGAATCATGGTTTTAATGCCAAAATTTATGTGATGCTAAATATCCCAAACCTGGATTTTCAAACTGTTTGCCCAGAAAAATCCGGCTACGGCATTCTAAACAATGTGTTTTTAGGATAATGCAAGGTCTGAATGGAGGCCAAGGAGATTCCATATCTCAACCATTTTGCTAAAAGTAAACTTTAAAATAGGGAATAACCATAATTTTCAGTTAAGATTCTAGGAAGCAACATCTTTATTTAGCGCCATTCATTAGTTCAAATGCTACAGATTCATTCAGAGGATATGTTTGCTGCTTGCTAAACAGCAAAAGGGGTGCAAAATGAACTGACAGTCAAAGGGGTAAAAATATCTCTCTGGCAACCATGAAATGAATCTAAGAAAGGAGCAAAGGCTGACTCTGGAAATAGAATTTATCAGAGCAGTCCGATGTGTTTTTGCTGGAGGAGTAATAAAAAAAAAAATCCATAAGAAACAAAATGAAACCTGGCTCAATTTCTAAGCTAAATTAGGATGTGAAAATTATAGCTAAGACAATGAAAGGGCAGCAAGGGGTTGGGGATGTGGGTGGAGAAGAAAGAAAAAATACATAAAGCTAATCCAAGAATTTAGTGTTGGTTAGGTTCAGGTTCCCATCTACCATCAACTGGAGGATTTTGAGACAGAATAACTGTAGGAAGGCAAAAATGTGATCTATGCTCTGCTGGTCTTTTGGAGGAAAAAAAAAGGGATCTAAAATAAATTATGAACTCCCAAGTTACTTTTTAAGCCTAGTGTAATGTAAGAAAAGCCTATTTTGTTAGCACGTATCATGCAAAGTCAGAAAAGTGGGTTAATGAGAAGAGCCCTGATAGCACAGTAGTTAGAATGCAATATTGCAGGCTAATTCTGCTAAGTGCCGACAGTTCGATTCTCACCAGGCTCAAAGGCTCTGCCTTCCATCCTTCCAAAGTCAATAAAATGAGGACCCAGATTGTTAGGGGCAATATAATATGCTGACTGTAAATTGTTTAGAGAGAGCTGTAAAGCATGGGAAGCAGTGTAAAACTTGCAGTGTAAGTAAGTGCTAACTAAGTAATATACTCACTGGCAAAGGTGCTTTGTGAAGATAGGCAAGGACCAACAAAGAAAAGATACAGTAGCTGCTAATCAAGGTCTAGTCTCACACCTGCTATATGATTTTGTCTTGTTGAATTTCCACTTGAGGACAAACTGAATGCAGTTATAGTCGTATTTAGTTCTGCCCTTCCAAACCAGAGGAGAAGCATGGTGAGACAAGTGGGATGAGTTGGCTACACAACTTGCTTAGTTGTGTTGCTGCCATATAGAAAAATCACTGTGGTAATTTCCAGTCTAGTAGGGATCCAGCACTGTCCCAGTGAATCTCTGCATCCAAATTTGAACAAGGACCACATGCCACTAAGTCTGGCTAGCAAATACGTTTGTTTGTTGAACATCAGAAAACATCAAACAATTAACTGGTGAAAAATGGGTTAGGGTTACATTTGGAATGGGCGGCTATATGAAATCTAATAAATTATTATTATTTACATATCTATATCAAATCTGCAGAATATCACAGAACCACTGGAAATAATACTCTGGATAATTAGCATGGACAAAGGAAGAGAGCTTTCATTATTCCCACCTAAATTCTTTTGTGTGTATAACAGTAGCAGAATACAGATGGAAAGTAGGACACCAGGTGACCCTTCCTTTCTATTGCATCATTAAATAAGGAATCCCGAGAATCAGAAATTTTTACAATCGGTGCTTTTATAACAGTTTGTCTTCTGGTATTTCTTTACTCATTTTTAATGATGCAAATTCTTTACTCTCCATTTTGTCATCTTTAATGAATTCATTTAGCTAACTGTCATCCTTAAACAAGGCAAGCTGCGCCTTAATACATAATACACTTCTCTTTTGTTCCTCCATAGTTAGAATGATAAATTAATGAAATGCCAGACTGAGATTAAACGTGGTTTTCTTACCAGAATGACAGGGCAGGTTTTCCACTCGAAGTAGGGAGAGGGGTAAGATACTGGACATATTTTGAATGTGCTGATGCAGAAACAGGAAACGCTACAAAAGGTACACACTGAAAAAAATGTGTGCATAGTGTAGCCAGGTGAAATAAAGTTCATTAATATTTTAAAATATTTTTAAAAGGGTTAAGAGATACAGAGAGCAAGATGGATGTGGTTCCATCATGTGGGCTGTACAAAAGGCTGAATTTTAGCATCTGACAATGAAAGTAATTTGTCTGATTTATTCTTGAACAAGAGCAGCTTGTCCCCTGCAAAATCCTTGCTGAGCATAAGCATGGGCAGGAAAGGTAGGTGGGGAATTTATTATTGGTGCTACCTGTCCAAAACATATGCATGTATGCAGTATTTGCCGGGCAACTTCCAGACATTGTATCTTGTTTGAAATGAAATTGCTGTACAGGAAATAATGGGATTAGAAACAGCTGGCCAGCATATGGAGGTACTGTGATGTAAAATGTTCTGTACATTCATATTTGCAAATCCAAAAATGAAGCCAAGAATTTTTACCAAACTATTTCCTTTGTTGTGATTTCAGTGGTCACAGTTGGTTGTACGCTCATATTACTGATTTCCATTTAAACTTTCCTTCCTTAGTAACAAAAGCAGAATGTATTCTGACAGCTGACGAATATTTCTTTAGTGACTGCCCATGGAAGTTGCCCATCCTCCAAGAGCTTAACCTTAAAGGTTCAGAAGGGAACTCTCTGGTATCTATCCATTTTGCTATTTCCTCATGTGGCAAATTGTGGTACGTCTAAAAAGAGTTTTTAAAGGGTACCATCCAGCTGTTTGATGTAAAGAAAACATGAATTTTATAGGACCGTGATGGTGAACCTATGGCACGCCACAAGTGGCACACAGAGCCATTTGTGCTGGCACGTGAGCCGCAGGCAAACTTTCCTCACTGCATAGCGTGTGCCTCGCAGCTGATTTTTTTCAGTTGGTTTGAAGCCTTTTTCAGCCTCCCTATAATTCAGCCTTAAAAGCCTTGCAGAAAAAACCTTTCAAAGCCTCTGGGAGGTCAAAAAAAGGCTTCAAACCAGCCAAAAAAATCAGCTGTGAGACACAGTGCAGGTAAGAGGGTGGCGGGAGGGGAGGAATGTGCAAGAATGTGCAGAAAGCATGGGGAGGTGGCGCGCATTGCATTCTGGGTGCTGGTATGTGAGTGCGTGCGCGCTGGTGCGCACACAATTTTTGGCACAGGAACCCAAAAAGGTTAGCCATCACTGATACAGGGAATACCAAAAAATTCAGATTTATAGGCTAAACACAATAAGGTTTATTAATTAATATTTTTTCAGAGAAAATGTTACTATACTTAAGAATGTTCAGGTCACGTGTCAAATAAGGAAGGAAGTGTTTAGCAAGAATGGCAACCAATTTGAACATTTAAAATAATTTATATAATACATTGTCTACGGAGTCAGACTTTGTCTTTAGGGGCATGACTTTTGGTATGTGTATATATTATGTATTATGCTTTAGTGCCATGATGGCGAACCTATGGCACACATGCTGGAAGTGGCACGCAGAGCCATCTCTGCCGGCAAGTGAGCTGTCACCCCAGCTCAGTTCCACTGCACATGCATGCGTGCCTGCCGCCAGCCAGCTGATTTTTGAGTATCTTCCATGAATGTGTGTGGGTGTGTGTGCATGCAGGAGACACGTGCGCATGCATGAGGTGTGTGGGTAGTGCGAGGGGGGTTGCGCGTGCATTGCATTATGGGTGCAGGCATGCATGTGCGCGTATGTGCATACTTTCGGCACGCAATGAGAAACAGGTTAGCCATTACTGTTTAAGTGGATTTCTATTTCCATCTTTATGTCTTTGAAAACAACACAATCAGTGGTGGGCTGCTGCCGGTTCAGACCGAGTCTCCCGTACTGATAGTTACAATCACTGGTTGGGCTTGCCCACCTTCCCCGGTGCTATCCCAATCCTTGCCCATGCAGCCCAGCTGTTTTCCACACTTCTCGCGCTCTACTCACTGCAGCTGCCATGTGCAGGAAATCCCATGTTTTTGCAGCCATGCACTAAAGGGGGCATGTGTGCATGAGCTCCCATTTGTAGTGAACTGGTTGTTACAGTATGTGCAGCCCACCTCAAAACACAATGTCAAACTCAAGGCCCGGAGGTTGGATCCAGCCCATGGAGTGCTTAGATCTGGCCTGTGGGGCTGCCCTGGAAACAGCGAAGGACTGGCCCATGGTGCCTCTGCCAGTGAAGATGGAGCTCAGCAGGACCATGTGCCACAGCCTCTGCAACTGTCTGCCAGTGAAAATGGAGCTCGGGAGGGCCGCACGTGGCCCTCCCAAGCTCTGTTTTCGCTGGCAGAGTGCTTGGGTCACCACAGGCACCCCCAACACGAGTGATGTCAAGCTGGCTACACCCATCCAGCCCCTCCAAGGTCAAACATAACCCTGATGTGGCCTTCAATGAAATCAAGTTTGACACCCCGGATCTAGAGTTGAAGTCGATTGGCCTTTTTCCAACGCTTCTCTTATCTATCAGGCTAATCTTGAACTGAGCTGCTGCTCGAGACATGAGAGCAGCTCTATTAAAAGATAAGAGAGCAACCTGACTCATGCATGTGCCAAAAGATGATTGATAAATTATTTAAACTAAAGATAATTTAAAATTTCATGCCATTCATCTCTCCTCCACAAGGGAACTCTGGGCAGTTACAAGTTATAAAACAAGTAAAAAAATGATCAAAATATTAAAACATTAAAAACTACACAGATTGGGATATTGTTTTTTTTTAAAAAAAATTGTACTAAAAAAGAAACTAAGCGAACTAAGAGATGGACTGGATGAGGATGAGGTCTTCTTACCCCGTCAGCCACTCCCAGCAGTGAGCAACAGCAAGTCCCTTGGGGTCCCAGGCCAGCCAGCAAAGCCAGGTTTTGATAAGCTTCCGGAAGGCCAAAGGGCAGAGGGCAGTTCTCATCTCCAGTGGCAGAGTGTTCCACAGGGATGGAGCCACAGCAGAAAAGGCTTTCCTGCTTCAATTCCCTAGTGGATGGGATTTGTTGCAGGCTTCTTCTGCTGGCATGAGGGGGGGGGGGGGTTTGTCCCAATCGGGAGAAACATCTCCTCAGGTACCCCGGACTCATGTATTCTTCATTTTTATCCATTGCAGTGGTCATTATTTTGAATTGTGTCCCATAACATTGTAACAACAAGGGGCCACAAAGAGAAAAATTGGAGGCGAGGTGGTAGTTTTATGAAGTTATTATTTATAATATTTCTCCATTTACTCAGTGAATCCTGTAAATGGATCACATTAGTCACTTTGAATGGGTGCATTTAATTCATAATGGGTTTTCTAGGAATTGGCTTAAAAAAAAAGAAAGAAAATCTCAAAGAATTGGTGTTAAGAGCCCATCTTTTAGAGTTCTAAGTAATACTGTGTAATAATTAAGGAACGGGGGAAAATGCAGGGATTTGACATGAAAACCACAATTATGAATGTTTCAGATACTCAAGGCAATTTGACAAATTCAGTATGAAATGGGATGCAATTTGCCACTGCAGAGTTAGCGGTTGCATCTAGTTTGTAGCTTTGTATCTGCTTTTACAAGTAATCCTCAACATATGACCAAAACTCAGCCCAAATTTTCTGTTGCTAAGTGAGACATTTATTAAGCGACTTTTGCTCCATTTTACAACTTTTTTTGGACACAGTTGTTAAGTGAATCTGGCTTCCTCATTGACTTTGCTTGTCAGAAGGTCGCAAAAGGTGATTACACCGCAGCCACCATCAGTTGCCAAGCATCTGGCCATAGGGACGCTGCAACAGTCATAAGTGTGAATAATGGTCATAAGTCACTTTTTTCATGTAACTTAATCACTAAATGAACTGTTTTAAGTTGAGAAGTACATGTACATAGCTTTAAAAATTGTGGGGAAATGTATCATTTTTTTGAAAGAAATTGTAGAAACGCAGGACAAGCATACTTGAGGAGAATGTGGTTTTTTTTTTCTTCTTCTCTGCTGGCCTTCAAGTAATAAATCATCATGTTAACCATTTCTTTCTAGAAACAGAAAACGAGCAGAGGATAGCTACTGTTGGGTAACTCTTAAGAGGGAAAGACTTCATTACATGCTAGTGAACACAAAATGGCTTTTAATCCAGTGGCATATCTTCTGCCCAGCAGCATTGCTTGGCTTTGGAGCTAGGAAATTATAGGTTCCTTTGTCTGCCATAACCGTTGTTGTCCTGATGGTGTAGGTGGAATTTCAACGGAATAGTTATTATTGTGTGAGGGGAACGTGAATTGCATTCACTCCTCACTGTACCATGGCAACCAACATTTTAGTCTTCCCTCAACTCGAAACTAACAGCTGAGCTGCCTCAAGTCAGCCTAGAAATGACTCATGCCCCTTGGCAGAAAGCGGACATGCTTCTTGACAGGAAATCTGAACTTCAACGGGGCTTCTAGGGAGGATAAAGTGATGATTTATTAGTCTATTTAAGAGTGAATGAAGAAGAAGCCGGCAAGGCCCAAACAGTAGTAACTACCATATGCTACTTTCCTTTCCTTTGATGATCATGTTTGAAATGTAGGAAATCATAAACCATCATTCTTATATGTAGCATTTATGCAGTGATCTACTTGTACAGGTAGCCTTCGACTTACAACAGTTCATTGAGTGACTGTTCAAAATTACAACGGCACGGAAAAAAGTCACTTGTAACTGTTTTTCAGTTATGACCTTTACAGCACCCCCACGATCCTGTTGTCAAGCCCGAAATTGACATATGCAGAGCTATTTTATCTAGCCTTATTATATATTCCTTTTCTTTCTTTCTCTTTGCTGGTATTGGGGGAAAGGGTTTCAGGCCTGCCACATCCTTAAGGTGGGAGGAGTGGAGATAGAGTTGTTTAGGTTAGATGGTTCTTCTTCCTGTGGGAACAAAAGCTAACCATGCTGAGGTCTGGAGGTGGAGTTTGACGACATCAGGGAACGTTGATATACTTCTATTGGGGAATGTGACTTTTGGGGGCTGTTTCTAACTTCCAGTATTATGTAGTGTAATTCTGGGTTGTGTCAGATCCAGAATTACAAGAGACTTTGCCAATTTGATGCTTTCCTAAATAAAAGAAATTGTTTTGGAAGATTGACTCTTCCAAAAAAGATTGCTCTTTTTTTTAATGGATTTCAACTCTCTTTTTAATGGATTTCATCTCTTGGAAACTGACACCTGTGATCAAAATTCAGATTCTTGGCAACCGGATCATATTTGTGACCGTTGCTGTGTCCTGGGGTCATGTGATCACCTTTTGTGACCTTCTGACAAGCAAAGCCAATGGGGAAGTCAGATTCACTTAACAACTGGGTTACTAACTTATTAACTGTGATGATTTGCTTAACAACTGAGGCAAAAAGGTCGTAAAATGAGGCAAAATTCACTTAACAAATGTCTCACTTAATCACATAAATTTTGAGGTCAATTGTGGTTGTAAGTTGAGGACTACCTTTACTGCAGTGAGAACACTTTGAAGCTAGGTGATAGGGCCCAGAGAAGCTCTTTGGGGAATGAAGTTTAGATGGCTAACAGAAAGAAAGAGAGTTGATCCCCCATCTGTATTTTTGACAGGCAGGCCCGTCTTCCTGTGTAGGATGCTTGCCTAGGTATATTGCCTGCTTCCTTGTACACCCAATGTAATTGCTGCACAGTATAGATATTAAAGGGAGGATATTGAGGGATCTATGCGTAGGTTCCAGGTTTATCTCTCTGATTCTCAAATCTGGAATTTCAGATGTGTTGATATAAAAGCATACAATTGGAAATGTCCTAAGAACCACAGTTAACTTTAATACATAATTTTTGAAATTGTTTTAGTTCTTTAATGATGTTGCCAGCATGCTACTTCAGCAGATGGACAACACCTTAACTGACTTTTACTGATTTTAGAAGTTAAACAAGATTTAGCTTGAATGGGATATCATCAGAGTTGTGTGATTTTTTTTTTTAATTAAAACCACTTAGAGAAGAATGATCTGCCACTTCCCGGATACAATCACCAGGAATCAGTCTTCAACTGGAGGCATTTTCACTCTCTACTGTTTATATTTCATCCTATAACAGTAGGATGGAAAATAAAGGAAAAAACCCCCACTAATTTCATATTGTGGTCTGATCATGCAGAATGCTTCATGGATAAAATGATAGATTTTTCTTTAGAAGAAAATTGCAGTGGGTCAAACTTTTTAGGTCATCACATCTTTTCAACCCCAAAGTTTAGAAATTTACTTTCTATTGATTTGGTAGATGAAATAAACAAGCTCAAAAGGTGGAATATCTTTTAACTGAATCTTGCTCTTTTCTTTTTCTCCCCCCTTTCCTTCATTTTTTGCAGGATCTTTCCGCAATGATGGCTTGAAAGCTGCGGATGTTCTTCCCATACTAAAGGAAAAGGTGGCCTTTGTTTCAGGTAAGTTCACAGTCTTTTCATTTCCATTCTGAAGTTTAATTCATGCTAGCGAAAATTAATTTTGTTTTGTTTCCGAGTTTCACAAGACATTGGGAAACAGTAATCTATTGATTGGATTTAAATAATGTTTTAACAAGTAGAATCCAAAGAGTAGCTTTTAAGCCATGTTGTACTCTGTTTTTAATTTCTTTTCCTTGATTCCTCACCTCCTTGAGAACAATTTATTCATGAAAAGATGGATATGAATTAAATGAATAAGGTCCGATGTTCAATCTTTACCATCACTACTTATGATTCAAACAAAAATCCTGTTTGTGAAACCTGAAATACTTTTTGTATTTCAACTCCCATTAGCCCAAGCTTGGTCAAAAGTAGAGGTAGTATTCAGCAGGTTCTGACCAGTTTTGGAGAACCGGTAGTGGAAATTCTGAGTAGTTTGGAGAACCGGCAAATACTACCTCTGACTGGAGGTTTTAAAGTATCCTTCCCCTGCCAAGCCCACCAAACCATGCCTACAGAACCGGTAGTAAAAAAATTTGAATCCCACCACTGGTCAAAAGCAATATATACGGTAACTGTCATCTAAAACATCTAGCTGATCTTCTTGGTTATCTACCCCATTGTCAATGAAAATGGGGTACAAGGATAGAATCTGGCTTAATATAAGGTATCTTTCTAAGTAGACATTGAATGATTATCTACCTGCAATTTCTTGCTTGGTTATTGGATTAAAAATAATGAGTTGTTTTAAACTTGTGCAATGACTTTTTGTATTTCTCTATAATTTGGCATGATGGCATATGGTTTTACGTGTAGCTGAAATTAATTAGAATTTCTGCAAACATCACATTCGGTTCCAATGCTAAATTAAAATTAAATGGTTAGGCTGTAGTTCAGTAACAGAACAGCAACATATTGAAAATTGCACAACACTCTTACATTGCATCTGTAAGATAAACTTCCTTCGGTTTTGAATGGTTGAAAATTAGAAATAATATAAGCAAAAAATAAGGAGTAAGTGTCAAAAAGTCAAGTCAGAAGAAAGACGACAGGTTTCCAGTGGGGCAAGATAATAAAAATTAACTAGCAAGTAAATGCAGATTCTTAAACAAAAAACAAAATGTCTTAAAGGCACATTATTTCCATTGTTGGGTGATCAAATACAGAAAATGATCAAACTCTTAAGCCTTTAATTATAGTATGAGGACTGAAAGCAGTTTCCAGGCATAATTCGAAGTGTGGGTTATGATTTATAAAACTCACATGACTTGTGAGTAGTTTATTTGAAAGATTATATTCTTTCTTTCACAGCGTGCTTGAGTTTTAAGATTTTCAGCAGTGGCCTTCTTTATTCCTCAGAGGGGCATTTTTTGTTTCCATTGAGGTTCTGAGGTTGTTGCTTACTGCCTAACTATTTATTTGCTTTTACGCTTTAATTACAACTGTCTATTCTATTTTGTGTTTAATTATTATCTATTTTGAAGTGGAGAAAAGCAAGAGAAGTGGAAAAGCAAGAGATAATTTTAATACATTGTAAACTTTGTGAGCCAAGAATCACTTAGGTGAGAAGGGCAGTCATACAAATTGAATGACTGACTGACTGAATATGTGTAACAATTGCATAATGAGATTTATTTCCATGTTAACATGGATGTGCTGTATTTTTTATCAGAAGGTAGATAGACAAATCAAAAAGGTTGTATACTACTCCATGTTCATACCTTTGGAATCAATACTAAACTGAATGTTCAAATACATTCATTACAAGTTAAAAGATGAATGTTATTGAATATGTATATGTGCTTTATTGAATTTATATCCAATCCTATGCTTGGCATGTGTGATCCATTATTCAATATCTTACTTCTAGATATTACCAGTGTAAAAAAAATGTGGACTACTTTGACCATTGACCTAAAATGGTAAAATAGAGTGATTCTCAAATTTAATAGACATCGGTCATGTAATTGCCATCCCCATGTCCTTCATGTATTGCTCAATTGGCAGCTGTGCTTACGTCAAAGATCCTGGTTTTAAAAAATGATAATTTTACTTCTGGGATTTGTGATAGACTTGGAAAAAAGAAAAATGCACTAGGTGACTTTCTTTGGGTCTTAGTTATTCAAAATGCTGCATCTTTTGTTCTGAAGTATAAATGGGCTTCTGGTTCAGAAAGGAGATTTTATGCTGTCCTAGTGTAACTCATTACCTAAAGATAACATAGCTTGAACTGCCAGAGGTTGTGCAGAATGAAAAGGTTACTGTAAAATCCTCTTTTGAAAAGATGGTAGAGAAGACACGTGAGACCTCTCTTGTCCGATTGCCTTGCTTCTTTGTGTCTGCATGAAAAGGCAATCGCTTTTGACACAGCAAGCTCAATAGCAACCTTGCCAGCTACACTGCCTCTCTGTAACAGGCAACAATTACTAGTGGCTTTGGGGGAAATCTATCTTTATGGTTTATTTGGTGCCTGAGGAGCATCATTCGTAATCTACAACTGAAGTGTTGTTCTTTATATTCTGTCCTGCATATCTCTACAAAAAGCCTGAGCTCAAAAATGAATTGTGCTTCTCTTTTTCCATCCAAATCACATGAGCTCTGTGTTTCTTTTCATATATAGGTACTTGCTTTCAAGTGCCTTCCCTTCTCTGTGCTTTGATTTCACACTTTTGATTTTCTTCAAAGTATTCTCTCTTAAAAGATTTTGCCTTCTTTCCTTTGCTGTTATCTTCCTAAAACTGATAAGAAGTATGGTAGCTGTTGGGTCCAGATAACCCAGGTGCAAGCCTGCTTACATTTCAGAATGGACGAACTACATCCTCCCTCCATCAAAATGTCTGAAAAAAAATAGATATTAAATTTGAGTGTACATGTATATTTATATTTAAAAGGAAAAATATTGGTAAAAATCCGTGACCTTTCTTTAATAAATCTAAGTAGTCAAGGTTAAAGAAACCTGTTTCCTTGCTTTGTTCATTTCCAGTTTGGAAGTTGCAAGAGTTCTGACATTGCCATGCTAGGAAACCTATATATAATGTTTATACCAATTCAGAATATCAGTACTTCCAGGTACAATTCAAGATGCTGGTGCTCACTTTTAAGGCCCTGCATGGCACAGAACCTAGATATTTGTAGGTCTCTAGTTATCTCTACCTGTCTACAAAATTCAATAAGAGTTGTTGCTTTGAGCCCTGCTATTTTCTTCTTTGAAATATACACACAGGATTTATGAACCATTTGTCTTAACTTCTTAATCACTAAGATTAAGGAAACTATCTAATTTAATTATTGAATTAAAATCATTTTTCCTGCTGTGATATCCTCCTTTTAGAGCAGGGGTGTCAAACTCATGTCATCACAGCTGCATCACGTGATGTATTGGGACTTTTTCCCCCTTCGCTAAAGTGGGCATGGATGTGGCCAGCATGTGACGCATCTGGCCCTTGGGCCGGGAGTTTGACAGCCCTGTTTTAGAGGATCATTTGTCTGAAGTGAGAGTAGCTTTACTCTATTGGCACTATAGGAAATCTCTGAAAGCCTGTTTCTTTCAGCAGCTTTGGAGATATCAGAGACATGGGAAGTCCCTGAGACACTTCCCGGACACTCACAGGTTGTCCTTGAACCCACAGTCTAGATGTAGTCTCCAAATGGAAACAAAACTGGATACATTTTTGTACACATTTTGTTTTGAATTTCGAACAAGTAAACCTCACTTAAACATTTCAAGTTGTTTGTGTTTCAACCAGGTACTCTTGAAATGGCTTGAGTGTCCTGAATTCTGAATATGACTGGACCAAATGCTGGTGTTCTACAGTCTTAGACAAACAAACAAACAAACAAACAAAAAACCACCGGGTTTTTCAATTAGAACTCAGTATTCATCCTAGCTGCCATGGTTGGAGCAATCAGCATGCCCATGACATCATTCAACACTATTGCATTTTGTTCTGACTCTGAAACATAATTCCTATTTATTTGTTTATTCAATTTACGTTGCTGCCCATTACTAAGCAACTTTGGGCAAGTAACAAAAGTTTAAAAATCACAACATGAAAAGCAGACAATAAAAAATCAAATGCAACACAACAGAGACAACGTATTAACATACCATATTTTTTGGAGTATAAGATGCACCGGATTATAAAGCGCACCTTGGTTTAGAGGAGAAAAGTAAGAAAAAAATATTTTGCCTCCATGCATCCCGTTTTTGTCCTCCCCAGCATCCAGAAGCACTCTACAGCCCCGCAAAAGGGCCCATTTTTTACCTCTGGAGGCCTTCATGGGTCCTATTTTTGCCCCCTGTTGTTGGCCTGCAGAGTGCCTCTGGACGCCCAGGAGGACAAGAACAGAATGCACGGAGGCTTTGGGAGGCCAAAAATGGGCCCGTATTCACTGTATAAGACGTACAGACATTGCCACCCACTTGGGGGGGGGCAAGTGTGTCTTTTACTCCCCAAAATATGGTAATTATAATAGGCTCATATACAGTCCTGTTCTATTGTCTGGAGGAAGATCTAGCTTTGGGAAGATTTTTAAAGAACAGAAGTCTTGGAGCCTGTAGAGAGATAGTTCCTGGTTTCCATAAGATAACACTATTTAATTGATGAGCCCAAAGCAGCAACTCTGTTGAATTTTGTAGATAGGTACCATAGACTGGGGACCTATCAATATCTATGTTCCCTGCCATGCAGGGCCTTAAAGGTGAGCACCAGCATCTTGAATTGTACCCAGCAGCCCATCAACAGCCAGGGAAGCTAATATATTAGGGGTATTATTTATTAAGGTTTTAGTTATAACTACTTGTGCTGCTGCATCGAGGAGCAGCTGTAGTTTCCAAGTGGTCTTGAATCCTAGTTCTTGTTTGAACCTTGAACATGCAAAACATCTATTACAAGGTCAAAGCAGTTTAACTTGAACTGTTTTACACATTTCCACCTCTCATTCCCCAGGCAGAAACATTACATTACACTTCACAACATCACTGCACATTGATGACACTGTATCTAAATAGCCCCAGCAAGCACATGTCACATGGCAGTTGAACAATATCTGAAAGATCACAAATGTCCCACTCGTGCGGATTGTTATCAAGAAGGCAAATAGCCATTTTGAAAGGTATGTGCTAGGAGTTACTCGGTCCGTACGGTAGCCAATTGTCGCATGAATTTGGCTTTGACCGCTGCATCTGTTTGTGGAAATATTTAGAAGGAGATTGTTAATAAGAGAAAAATGAGAGTCAAGAGGAAGGAAACGCAATGTGCTGCTGTTGTATTATATAAAAAGAAGAAAATAACACCAATTGCATTTGGAAGCTGTTTTCAGGGACAGAACACTTACATTTCAATTCAATTGTTAGTTAATGACATTTTGCTGACATTCATGCCAGCCCTTGTCCTTGCGTAGAAAAAAAATTGTTTTTGGGAAAGTGTTCACTTGGTACAGAAAATAAAATGTTTTTTTTTTTAATCTGGAAAGGTTGGCAATCTAAAATAAAGTAATACCTATTGTTGCTTCATGGAAGGCAATTCTTTGTGCGTTCTGCCAAACCTACATTCCCAAGAATATTTTAAACATTTTAAAGTTTAAACTAATCTCTCAAACTTAATTTTAAAATTCTTTCTATTCTGAGACTGTAAAAATAAATTGCTGGTTAAGGAAGGTCAGTCTGTACCAAGAGCTGAATGGATCACTCTGCACTTGATGTTTACATACAGGAAAGCTGCTTTAAACTCTGGCTTACTTCTAAAAGGAGATTTTGGTTTTTATTTTGTTTTTAAAATTTAGAAATAAATAAGTTAAAGAAATCACTGGTTTGGGAAGCAAGCACTAAGCAAATTAATATTGGTCTGGTCAGTTATATCTTTTATTTTATTTTTTTGTAGATCACCCTAATTTACAGGGCTCATGTTGACAAGAGCGCTGATTGTTGTGAAATCAGCTGTTAGAATTAGCAATGCTCAAGAATTATCTCTCAGACTAATTTGTGAATTGATATGCATTAATTTTTAGTTCTTTACTGTTCTCAAATTTTGCACTCAGAAATACATGTTTTTGAATAGATTTAAAAGTCCACAGATTAACATGGAATTAAGATTAAACGAATTTAGGAAAGAATAGAATTAAAAATACAGCAAAAATTGACTCACTCTATTCTTAGTGGAGGATCTTATCCCATGCTATTGAGCCGAGAAGGTTAAGTGTGATATGGTCAGCATGCTGAGCAGAATGAAGGAAGTTCAGGCCTTTTTAGTACTTGGATGGGGGAGATTAGAAAGCACCAGGGCTACAAGTTAGACTGGAATTAAAAAAGAATTGTGGGAAAAGTAAAAGGTGAATTACTCCTACATGATTGCCAACACATGGATCGATAGACATATCCATGTAGTTATCAAGAATTCATTTTGATTTGGAATCTTCCTATGCCCCAAAATGCTTTTTCGGGAGGCAACTGGACTTTCTTGTTTTTTCTTCTGAAGACATTTCACTTCTCATCCAAGAAGCTTCTTCAGCTCTGACAGGATGGTGGGGAAATGGAAGGATTTATATTCCTTGCAGACAGCTGATAATCTGCATCCTTTTAGAGGGTGGTTGAAGCATTTGGGGGTTTATCTGTATATTCAGTCACCTCAATAGTGCTCCTGGTTCCTGTAGTCTGTAATTTTTTTCCCTCTGGAAATCCATTCCTACTTCCACACCATTCAAAGGGATCCCAAATTGTATAGCTAAAAGTCTATAGAGATTCTCAGTCATCCAGGTCATGGTTGTCCCAAAGGGGCTTTTTCAGGAGGCATGTGGACTTCCTTGTTTTTTCTTTTGAAGAAAATTCCCCACTATCCTGTTAGAGCTGAAGAGGCTTCTTGGATGAGAAGGGAAACATCTTCAAAAGGAAAAACAAAAAAGTCCAGCTGCCTCCTGAAAAAGCACTTTGGGACAACCATGACCTGGATGACTGAGAATCTCTACCAATTTTTAGAATCTTCCTATGCATCTTCCTATGTATTTGGAATCTTCCCATGTATAGAAAATGGCCTTGCTTGCTTCATTAACGTTATATTTTCCAATTTATTTGAAGAATTAAATAGAAAGCAGTAGTATTGCCCTTTAATAACAATAACTATAGGTAATAAAGTAGCATGCTTATTTCTTTTCTCTATTAGTAATTGATGCATACCCACATTACACCCAGAAAAATGCTTCAACATTTCTTTTGAATGTTATTTACTTATATTGGATTACGTGAGACATCTTCTTGCCTAAAGCAGTTCAGCGAGTTGTGCCCTCTTTCACACAACTCACTCAGGGGTGGGATTCTACCAGTTTGCACCTATTCGCTAGAACAGGTTGTTAACATTCTAAGCAGTTCAGAGAACCGGTTGTTAGAAGAAATTACTGGCCTAATCCTGTAAGGAAGGCAGGAAGGAAACATTCTGGTGTTGCTTACAGAAACTGCCTCTCCGTTAACCCTTATTACGTTCTTGGCAGGACTAGATAGACTTCCTATCTCAGGAACTTCTCTGGAGTTTTTTTTCCCTCTCCTTTGCTGGTACTTTGCTTGTGTGGAGTGACCATTCAAAGTTACAATGGCACTGAAAAAAGTGACTTATGACCATTTTTCACACTTATGACTGTTGCAGCATCCCCACAGTCACGAGAGGCCAGGCAGGGAGAAGCGTGCCTTGATGTGAGTGATATTGAGTTGGCCACACCCAGCCAATAACATGACCACCAAGCCACGTTCACCCAGTCACATGACTACCAAGCCATGCCCACCAACTAAGCCACACCCACAGAACCAGTTGTTAAAAAATTTGAATCCCACCCCTGAACTCACTGTGGGTAACGTAAACCAATTTATTTTAGTACACAAGAGAGAAAATTTCAGATATATCACGCTACTGTTGGAGCAGAAAAAAAAAATAGTACAGATAGTCCTTGAGTTACAACTATTTGTTTAGTTACCATTTGAATTTACAGTGGCACTGACCATTTGTTCACACTTATGATGATGAAGCATCCTCATGGTCACCTGATCAAAATTCAGACACTTGGCAATTGACCCATATTTATGATGGTTGTAGTGTCCTGGGGTCATGTGATCACTTTTTGCAACCTTCTGACAAGCAAAGTCAATAGAGGAGCCAGATTCACTTAACCACTGTGTTACTCAGCACAGAAATTTTGGGCTCAATTGTGGTTGTAAGTTGAGGACAATGGCAGACAATGAATAAGGGATAGCTTCTGTGTAAAGTGGTTTGCAGCATGTTCGTGGGATTTTTATTAGCATTGGACAAATTCTCCACTTTAAATTTTGCCATAATTTTGCAATGATGTTGTCCAAATGGCTAGAAACGAATGGTAAATTACTGCCATTTTGGGGATAAAAGTTATGTTTTAAAGGGATTGTAAAAACTAACACAAACTAATACAAATTAAATAGAACAAAGAAAGCAAGAGAAAAAGGAAAAGGAGCAGAAAAAAATAGATAAGAAATATAAAGAAGCTTCTGATTTCCTTTGCAGCAAATACAAATGTGATTATAAAGTCATCTCTTACTCTATGATTACAAAAAAAACCCTCACACTTTTCTATTATCCAATCTTTTTCTAATCACCAAAACGACAAGTCCTAAGTGTATATTTTTTCTGTTTCATTCAAAAAGTCTATAAAGGCCCATCAGTCATAAATGTAGATTTTATGTCTTCTCTAATCAGAGATGTTAATTTAGACATCTCTGCAGGTTTCATCACCTTCACCAACCATTCTTCCATTGTGCATAATGTCAATTTTTGTGATATTTGAATATATAATTTATTCTCATTGCAGTTAATAAAGTTCCATGCCTTTTTTCTTTGCCTGTTCATTAGTTCCAAAATAAAAGCCTCTCGTTTTACTCTGAATTCATGTATCTGGAATTTGTTGGCTTTTTTACATGTCCACCAAAAATAATAAAATATCCCTTCGTGTTGTTCATGTTTCCAGCAAAGATTTGAAGTACTATTATATATTCTAGACAATTTCTTTGGTGACAAGTACCAACATTACATCATTTTATACAAAGTCTCCTTAAGTTCAAAACTTAATTACATTTCAATTCCTTCATCACTGTGCCATTTGTGATTTGAAATGAGCCTATACTGTGAAATGAAGCATAGTAGTTGTTCTGCTGTCACTTAACAATGACTGGTTTAAATGATGTCTTCTTGAAAGAAATAATGATCTGAATCCAAAAACTCATCATAATATATATTACAATTATATAATAATGAGTTATATCTAATACATATTATTCATAAGTCAGATTAACTTTGTTCCCTGACAAAAATCACAAAACCAATTTGAAGTGAGGGAAATGTTTCTTGTGTTCATTTTTAAAATTTTACAAGTGTTTGACTCTGCTTTGAGTTCTGTACATGTTGGTTCAAAGCGATCTTGGTATTTTTTTTGAAAAGTATTTTTCCCCAGATTCAGTTTTCTTGTGATTTTTCTCAAATCATCATAGAGAAAAGTCAATTTCAGTTTTTCTAGAATAGTTCTTGCCTGTAGATTTGTAGCATTGGTTGCCATTTAAAAATCAAATATATCAAGAAAAAGCCCAATTGTCTGTCCATCCATCCCTCCATCTATCTAGAGAGTTTGAAATTTGTACTTGCTAACCAATGCACTCCTAAACTTTTGAAAGATCCATATGTTTGAAAATACAGAATAATCACAATTTTTTATTGCTGACTTTTTTGAAAACATAAAAACACTTTTTTTTAACGTTTCCAGTTGAAGTGATAGTCGCATACAATAAGTCAGGGAGCTGCCCTAATCACTCAAGTGGTTAAAAAAAACAAAACAGAGAGGAGATCTTTACAAAGAAGCTGCAGTTCCGTCATTTCCCTCTTCCTTTGGCTCACATGATGTAATGTGTTTCCTGATTAATTTTCAAGCAATTGTTTGTTTTGTTACAGGCGGCCGTGATAAACGAGGAGGTCCCATCCTGACATTTCCAGCACGCAGTAATCATGACAGAATAAGGCAGGAAGATCTTCGGAAACTTGTGACTTACTTGGCTAGCGTACCAAGGTAAAAGTTCAAAACAAAGGCCTTGACGTGTTCTTGGAAAACCTTTGGTACATATTGGTGTGGAAAAAAGAAATGTTCCTTTTAGACTCACTCCCTTCACATCTTATTCAGCCAAGTCAGAGTGGAACGGGATTAAGGGACATAACCCATGGCAAACAATGAATAGGGATAGGTTTCTGTGTAAATTGGTTCTCAGCAGAGTCCATGGGATTCTTTTATTAGTACTGGACAGACTCTCTATTTTTCATTTTGCAGGTACATTATGCGAATGGTTGGAAATGAATGGCAAATCATCATGCCATTTGTGATGTGAAATGGGCCTATAATGGGAACTGTATCATGGTAGTTTTGCTGTCACATAACCATCACTGGTGTCTTCTTGAAAGGATTACTGTCCCCTGAAAACAAAAGCTCTTCATAATGTATATTACAATTATTATCATAAGGATAATATGTGTTGTCTAATATGTGTTGTATATAATTCAAATTATTTGGGTTTCCTGATAAAATAATAAATCGATTGAAAAGCAGGAACCACCTTGTCTGAATACAGCTTTATTATGGTCTAACCTGTATTGTGCTGCCTGATTTATTTTCTGTATGAAGGATAGTGAAAGATGAGAAAATAGGTTTTTTGTGGGGGGAGGGGGGAGTTTTTGAACTCTCTGTGGAAAATAAAAATCTGCTGTGAACAAAAACTCAGAATGAGCTATATTTATCAATAAATGCACAATGACATATTTGAGCCCAACCCAAGCATATTTATATGTTAAAAATAGTGGGTTTTAGTTTCTTTCAAGCGTTACTTTGTTATTTCTTGTAATATTTATTACTCTTTAATGAAATTCTCCGAGCAGCCTTTATAAAGTATTTTTTAAAAACCATACTATTTAATAGCTTAACAAGACAAAACCATTCTAAAACAGATATGATACTAAGACTATGCGGCCAAAAATAAGATTTTTAATTTAATACTTGAAAGAGAATCATAATAATGTAGGAATATTTATTATTTTGAAATCAAGTACAGGGAAAAAAAGCAAGTGGAGAATATCTTCAAAAACGATCATATAATATTTCTTATGTATGGACAGAATTCTATATTTCTTCGTTAGCTCTGCTTCAAAATTCATCATCTACTTGTCTTTCAGATTACTTAGGACAATTAAAATAATTTTAAAAATTGACATACATGTTTTATTTGCTACAATTTTCAATTTGTGTATTTTTTTGCTTTCCGTGGGAGAAAAAGTGATAGTGCAAAAAGAATAGAGATTACCCAATTGCCTGTGAAGTGAGTGTGCTTTGCACTGGAATTTACCCACTGCACATGGACTGATAAACTGTAAAAAAAGAAAAAATATTTTTGTAATTATTATTTACTATAGCCTAAGGTCAGCAGCTAAAATATTGTATAGGCAAGGTATCCAGGTATATACATAAATAGATGCATACTTGTGTGTCTTTGTCTATGTGTGTGTGAATAAAAAGGGGAAAAGGTAGAAGTTGAGTTCAATAATTGAAGATAATAAAATAAAAAAAATACAATATTTAAATTATAAATACACCATGAGGTTTCTGAAAGCAATAGCTATGAAATTCTAAATTTAGTCACTTCCCTGAAAACTTCACCAGACATACAGTATAATAGTATATGGGAAAGACCTTGCAAGATGGAGTGAATTCCCTGCCTAGGAAATTGTCAGATAAGGGTCAGCATTGGGTGGATGATGCAAGAGACTCAGAAGTAACCTCTCCCCACCACCCCGGTCTCACTGATAAGGCTGATGTACAGATGGTTCTTGGTTTGCAACTACTACCATTCAAAGTTATAAAGATGCTGAATGAATGGTACTTATGACTGGTCCTTGAATGTCCATCTGTCACAGCACCCCCACAGTCATATGATCATGATTTGGGTGTTTGGAGATTGACTCATTCTTTTTTTTTTATAATAAATTTTTTATTAATTTTCAATAAACAAACATACACAAACAAAACACAAAACATGAGAACATAAAACTTCTTTTTGGAAAGCGGCTTAGTCCCAGGTTACATCTTTTTATACAGACATGAATCAAATTCATGCTCACATTATATACCATTTCATATCTTATTTATCATTCTACATTTTCTATATAGCTTCTCCCTCTTTTTACTCTCTTAATTCTATCTTATTTATTTCATCTCAGTTTAAATCGTTATGCTTATATCATTTGTCTGTTCTATTTCAATTATCTATTGTCTTTTCTCATTAACACAAAATTTCTCCTGTAATCACTGATTGAAGTATGATGCCTTTATATCTTTCCCCTAAGTTTAACACTTAAAATAATATATAATATATAGTTTCCATTCTGATTCTGCTTAGTACATTCTAAAGCTACATACTATATTTTAAAATAGGAAAATGATAAGTTTATAATATAATTAAAACAATAATCCGTAGCAAATTAAACTCTATCATTAAATCTTAAGCATTTTACACATTCCTTTTAATATTTTATCCCATTTTATAATCATATAGTGTTCCAGTTTTCTAACATTATTTCAAATACAAGTACAACAATACAGTCTTATGTACTTTTGCAGAATCTCTTTTAAAATTATATTTTTACCCATTATCTCTAAATAAATCCTGTTTCTTTACATCTTGTTTCAAACCTTTGTAACTTTTCTTCCTTTTTTCCCCTCTTTTCTTCTCCAGTCTAGCCTTTTTACCCCACCGTCTCTTGATCTCCACCCTCTTAATCTCCACCCTCTTCTGTATTCCTCTTTTCTGTAGCTTTCTGACATTGTATCGATTTTTCACCTTATTTTTCCCTTTTTTGGTTGTTTTTTTAAAGTCTTAAATTCTCCATTCTCTTTCCCCTCTTTCCCTTTTCTTCCCCAACTAAAGTTGTTTGTTCATTAAAGATCACTTCTTCTTCTTCATCCCAGCCTTCTTGTTCTTGTAATTGCTTATAGGTAGAAATCGCCATTTCTAAAAAATGAAAAACAGATCCAGAAGAGCCCTTCCCTTCTTGTTCCTCTTCTTTTAGCTTTTTGAATTCCATTTTCAGTTCATCAACAAGTAATGCCATAGTGAAAAAGTTTTTAAAACAACTCAAAAGTTTTTAGTCTTTCAAATAATAATTTCCAAAGGTCCCAAAGTCACCAAGCAATCCAAATACACACAGTCTGTTTCATTTAGCACTTTCTTCTTTTTATACTTTCTCTTCCTGGGGTATGATTCAGTTGCAAAGTTCCAAAATGTATCTTTTAGAAGTCTTGTTACAATTTAACTCTAGTCTTATAAGTTCCAAGCAGCCTCGTCCAGCAAAATTCTTAATGTTAATTCTTTTCCTCTCCTTTCCCACTTATAGCAAAGAATTTAAAAAAAAAATTATTTTTCAATGTTCAGAAATCTTTAATGTCCCCTTGGCTTTAACTTTCATATTTAATTACCTGCTGGTGCCAGAACGGGTTTTTCCGATTTCCATCTGCTATCACCGTAAGGAAGGAGAGTGAGAAAAAACAAACTTTCCCTTTTAACTTTCATCCGCCGCTTTTCCCAATCTTCTTTGGGAACGATGTATCTTTGACAAAATTTAAATTCCAGGGTATTTAGATGCTACTAATTATCCTGGTCAGCCAGAACTTTCACTTTTTCAGCATCCTCCTGCACATTCTTATCCGGATGCAAGTGTCTTTGTGGCAGCCATTGCTGACCGCCACTCCACCGCCTTCGGAAAAGGGAGTTAAGCCAACTGAGGCCTTCCAGGTTGCGATTCCCCTGGACCCCTGCTGGGTCTCTCCTATCTTCAGTTACCTATGGGGTAACTATTAGCCCCCAAATCTGGCTGGATCGGGGTCACTCCAGCAGCGAGCACAGCAGAAACCGCACACAATCGCGGATTCCTGCCGCCGCCAAAGCCTTACAAACCGGAAGTCCGCAATTGACTCGTTCTTGTGGTGGTTGCAGCACCTCACAGTCACATAACTGTCATTAATGGGTGAGCCGGCAGGGAAGGGCGCAAGTTGCTTCTATAGATTATTCTCAATATTTTTTCTCCCTAGGAGTTCCATTATGGAACATAGGATCCCTGCCACCTGTGTTGCTTCATAGCATGCATCTTCCCACAGAATCCCCAATCTTCCCTGAGTGGCCAACTTGATGATGATGATGATGATGATGATGATGATGATGATATCCATTCAGTCATATCTGATGCTTGGCGATTCCATGAGCCAAGTCTCTCCACATCTTCTGATCTTGCACTACTTCTTTTAGTTGTTCTATGCTCCGGCTAGTATCAGCTTTGATGGCATCCAGCCACTGTATTCTTTGGTGGCCTGATTTCCTTTTGCAGCTAATTCTACCCAACATAATTGTTTTCCCCAGTGAATTTCCCTGCATGATATGGCAAAAGTAAGAGAGGCACAACTTTGTGATTTGGCCTTCTAGTGACATGTCTGATGTTATGTGATCTAGTACTTGCTTGTTGGTCAGCTTTGCTGTCCAAAGAATATTTAGGAGGCTTCTCCACCACCACAGCTCAAACAAATCCATTTTCTTTGTGTCTTGTTTGTTTGAGGTCCAGCTTTCACAACCATAGGTAGCTACAGTGAACACAGTACAGCAAACTAATCTATATTTGGTTGTCAGGCTGATGCCCTTGCTAAGTGTCCAACTTAGGTAGATATATTTGATACTCAACTGGACAGGCAAATTCATCCCAACCATTTTCTCATGCAAGCAGGCAGATGTCTATGGAGATTCTCAGTCATTCAGGTCATGGTTGTCCCAAAGATGCTTTTTTGAAGAGGCAACTGGACTTTCTGGTTTTTCTTTGAAGACGTTTCCCTTCTCATCCACGAAGCTTCTTGGATAAGAAGTGAAACGTCTTCAAAGAAAAAAAAAACAGAAAGTCCAGTTGCCTCTTCCAAAAAGCACCTTTGGGAGAAGCAGGCAGATGATATTAGAGAGAGAATCTCCCAGCAGAAAGGAAAGTCTCAGT